TTCCAGGCATGGAAAGGCCTGTGTGGCTAGTATTTGAGAAGGGCAGGGGGAGGGGAATATATCTGGAGGTAGCAATTAAGAGGAGGTGTGCTAGGGATGGAGCCTTCTAGGTCAGGCTTCTGGGTTTTAATCTTGAATGCTAAGGGAAGCCTATGGTGATCTTTTAGCAGCAGAAGGAGCCACATAATCTCATTTGCATTTTAAAACTCTCTAGATCCTGTATTTTTCTGTTTTCCCCATGATGCATTTGTAACAGCATGGAGAGATTTTTCATTGTGGGATTTTTGTTGTTGAAGTTTTAGTCCTAGAGACAGCTTATTAATATCATTCTGAATCTTATTTGATTTAAAATTAAATGTGTAGTTGCTATAAATGTTACTCATTTTTTTTTGGTGTAGTATACTTGGACTTTCATGATAAATATGGCAAACTGAAAAATGAAAACCTGTAATATTAACTGATAAACATATGGTGTTAGCTGAGGCAGCTTTCGTGGCTGACCTAGGAAAGAAAGCTGTTAGCCTCCTTCTAGGTTTGAGTCATTTGATGGGTACAACAATCTGGTAAAAATCAGTTTTAGGTATCAGACAATGAATCATATTTTGTCATCAAATAATGAATAAGACTGGCAGACTTGAGTAGAATTCTGGATTGTTTGAAACTGAGTAATGCATTAAGTCAAAGATATGTATTAAGCATCACTTTTTGCTAAGCACTGTGCTCTCAGGAATAGTCCTTGCCGTTAAGGAGTTCAGTCTAATAAAATCTGTAGGCACGTGTATGGTCTGTCTCATTTTTGTAAATCTAAACATGGACAGATTTGCAAGAACAGATGTATCCCAGAGAAAGAAATTATTCACAGCAGGGATGGGAGGTGAGAGTGGAGGTTGGGGCTGGGGGTACTGTGATGGAGGGGCAGGGATATTTTGGAAGGCTCTGAAAGTCAGGGGAGAGGAGTTCATGAGAGAACTGGCAGAGACCAGGGCTGTGCTTTTTCCCCCATGCCTCGCAATTCCTTGTGTTCGTAGTGTCTAGAAGACAGAGAGGGGGCAGAAATGGGTCTTATCCATTTTGGGGTGAGAAATAAGCAGAAAGAGGTCTTACCCCCTGAAGGTTAGAGGTAAGTTGAAGCCAGATAGTGAAGGGTGTTGCTTGGCTTAACCACCACTTTTTTTTTTTTTTTTAAGATTTTATTTATTTATTTGACAGAGAGAGACACAGCAAGAGAGGGAACACAAGCAGGGGGAATGGGAGAGGGAGAAGCAGGCTTCCCTCTGAGCGGGGAGCCCGATGCGGGGCTCGATCCCAGGACTCTGGGATCATGACCTGAGCCGAAGGCAGATGCTTAACTACTGAGCCACCCAGGTGCCCCACCACCAATCATCTTTAATCCTGTAGGCAGCATTGGGCTCAGAAAAGTTGCAAATAGGTGAATAATAAGATCAGATTCATGATTTTTAGAAAGTTCAATGAAGTATCTGTGTGGAGTTGAGTGGCCCAGGACAAGGAGCCTGTTGGGGCTGTGCTCTGAGTTGCAAGTAAGGAAGTCCACATACTTTATTTGAATTTTGGATGCTTAATAGATTTAATACCCAAAACATTTTTTTGTTGAGTATGAATTAAATGAGACAAACATTTAAAGAAAAGCCCAGAAGTTTGAGCTTTCTAGTCTACATTCTTTCTTCGTTTGTGACCACCGCATTCTTTTATTTTGTGGCTGTAATGATGCAGACTTTCACCAGCCTCATTATATGTATGTGATGCGGTCCTTCATGGTCAGTTGAGTGTGTAAGATGAATGGCATGGTAATGAGGCCAGTGCTCTGGTTGATCGTAGAACAGACGAGACCTGCAGGGGGAAGAGCCAGCAGCTTCTGTCCATGTTTCTGATTGGTGCCCAATGTGTAGTTGCCGATAAAGCAGGCGGTCTGAAGGGGCTCAAAACACTAGGGACCTTTATAACTAAATGGGGGGGGGGGACAGAAATAGGTGGCAAATTTGTCTCTAGTGAGCCTGTGACCACTGTGGGAGAGAGGGTGATTTCTGTATATGCTTTCAGTTAACTGTAAGTAAGAACTGTCAGCATTTTAGGGATCCCCTCTGAGAGACTGCCGTTTTCTGGAATTTCTCAATAACACTAATGTGTTCTTATTTCAAATAGCATTAAAAACGAATTTTGCTAACCCTTAGCCCATAGATTGTCAAATCTTCAAGGTCGGGAGCGATTTCTTCTCACTGTTGTGGTTTGTGTAATTGTGCCATTTGCATGATGACTTGCCTCAGTACTAGTTCTAAATTTTTTTAAATGTTTAAAATGCATTTAAAAGACAAACCATAAGAGACTCCTAATCTCAGGAAACAAACTGAGGGTTGTTGGAGTGGTGGGGGGTGGGAGGGATGGGGTGGCTGTGTGATGGATACTGGGGAGGGTATGTGCTATGGTGAGCGCTGTGAATTGTGCAAGACTGTCGAATCACAGACCTGTACCTCTGAAACAAATAATACATTATATGTTAATTAAAAGAAAGAAAATAAATAAAATGCATTTTAAAAAATAAAACATGTTTAGAAGGTAAGGGATTATGTCCTACACATAGGAATGCAGTAGCTCATCTGTCTCCGTTCCCCTCATCCTCCTCTTGTTAGAGCTGTGTGTCCCCACCGGTACAGCTTCCCTCACTGCCCTTTTAAGACCATCGAAGAAGACACATTCTTGTGCTTTTCCATCTACAGGGTAAAAATGCCTCCTGAAATATATTTATGATCTATTAAGACAACCAAAATGGGCTATAGTGAGACTACTCTTCTAAAAAAAGAGCTGTTGGTGTTTATAGACTTTGGGACATAGCCTCTAATGCACTGCTTTATGCAGATGGGTCTATAAATATTAGTAATGATCAAAGACTGAGTCTAGGGTCCAAAATCAGTGTTCATAGGTACCAGTGAGAGTTACTGACAGAATGTTCAACACCCCAGTATTTCTTTAGCCCTGATCTTGATGTTGTTATATGAGGCAATTTCTTTTGTTCTTAATCAAAATTTTTAACTACACAAATAGTAAATGGATACTTTCTTGTGGAAAAAGATGTTAAAATATTCCTTAAACCACCATACTACCACTCACCTCCTCCACCCTAATCTGGTGCTCCTTCTTGATAGATTTTTGTAAAGTGAATCCTTTCAGACCTTTGCTACATATTAACATGCATGCAGGAAGATAACTGGCATATTCATTTTGAAAGGTAAATTAACATGTCTTTCATTAGGATGTAAGTGACTGACTTTTTACTCAAGTGTGCCTGGGTAGAGGCTTTCTCAGTTTAAAACTGATAGTATGCCTTTAAGTTACGTAAAAAATCTTTTTTTTTTTTTTTTTTAAAGATTTTATTTATTTATTTGACAGAGAGAGACACAGTGAGAGAGGGAACACAAGCAGGGGGAGTGGGAGAGGGAGAAGCAGGCTCTCTGCGGAGCAGGGAGCCCGATGTGGGGCTCGATCCCAGGACCCTGGGACCATGACCTGAGCTGAAGGCAGACGCCCAACGACTGAGCCACCCAGGTGCCCGTTACGTAAAAAATCTTAAAGGTTGATTTAATTTTGCAAAATGGAATTCTATACAACTCTGAGTATTCTAATGAGGCTGAGTCTTCTGTGAGTAGCAGAGAGCCGTTACTTGGAGATGATCCTCTGGGAGCTCTTCTAGGAAAACAGCAGTGACATAATGCTATTTTGTCATTTCACTTGGCTTATATTTCTCTTTTCAATTAAATCAGATTTGGTTTTTGAAATTAAGGATTAAGTCTTTGTTTTTTCTTTGCATTTATTGTGTATGTTAGGTGATAGGGGAAGTAATAAAGGTGAAATCTTTGGAAGACTTAGCTGAGTGATTTTTATTACAAGAAAGCCTGTTGCAAAGTCTTTCATATGCACAAAGCGAAAGAAGGAAAAGATTTTCCATTCTTTGAAGCAACATTTCTTCTAACGTGGAGCCACTTTGATTTATTATGTTTAAACTGTATTGATGAATGATAGTTGTAATGACAAAGCGAATTTTGTGTTTTGAAGTATATTGATGTTTTTCTGTAATGTGTGAAAAATGTTCCCTAGATGTTAGGTTGTCGGACTAGAGAAACCTGGGAAAAAAGGGCCAGAAGATGGACTGTAAAAGTCAAGAGGAGTGGTTTTCAAAATAAAAAAGTCACTTGCACAAGAGTAAGAACCTAAACCTGCTGTCCTTCTGCCTCTCACTTGTGACATGTTCTATCACCAATCTCTAAACCAGGGTGGCCCAACTTTTGTGAATAGACTTGCGAGTTTTTCGTTTTGTTTTATGTTTCATACATTCAAATCAGAATGGCATAGTGCTGCTCCTAAAACAGTAAAAAGACTCCTCCTTTCCCAAAATTAACATACGTTGTTGATTTGAGGATTTTGTCCTTTCCTTCCTGCCAAATGTCTCTTCCATGCCTCGGGAGTTGAATACACTGGAGAAATTACACTCTATCCCCCAAGGGAGAATTAAACTTTTAAACGTGAGTTCTAGAGAGAGTTGGTCACATCTATCAGAGGCAGGTCTGTGTGAAGTGGCCAGTCAAGGGTGATAAATGGGTAGTCAGCTGTGCACAGCCTGCCCCGTGGGCCCAGGGTTGCCATGGAAGCGCCCAATGGCATCCAGCGATCCTGCATGACTAACCTAGATTAGCAGCAGGGCCTGTGGGCTCCAGCCTGGAAGAAGGTGCTCCCAGCCAGATGATGGCCTAGCCTGCATGCTGCCCCACAGCTCACACTCAACGTGGGCCTTCCTGTTACTGTCTTTTCTCCTGCCACATAAGTTCCTCTCCTTTTTGAGTGCAAGGAAGGTGACAAAGAGGATCACTCTCATTATTCCATACAGAGCTGTGATTTCTTCGTTTTATCACACCCACCCATAACCCCAAGGAGGAGCATTTGAAAAGTCAGAGTCAATGTGTCCTGACAGGCCCCAGCATGGGCTTGACTAAATGACTGCATTCAAGGGGCTGAATGGGCAGCTTCGAATTCCTCAGGAGTTTCACCACCTCTCCGAAAGCGAGAGCATCTTTGCATGGTTTAGACTTCCCAGCTTTGCTCGGGCTCCTGTGTGGATTAGAAGGGCGGAATTCCGTCCGTGGCACAGTCCCCCTTCGCAATGCCTTGTGCACTTGTGTTCTGCAGGGCACCCCAGGCTCTGGAAACTGAAGCCTGGGGTTTCCCCTTTGGTCTTTCACGTTTGCTTAAAAAAAAAAAAAAAAAAAAATGGAGGGAGGTGGTTTGTTGCACTTTGCAGAGATCTTTTTGAAGCATCAGCACTGCACCTCTGCAGATGGTGGACAGTAGTATGTGACCCGAAAGCAACAATGTGGCGATTGACAGTATTTCCCTCGTTTATTTAGGTGGAACTCCTGGCCATCTGCTGGGTGGTCAGACTGCATCCTCCCACCGGGACCTTGTTTGTGAATGCCACCGTCAGTTGCTTCAGATCATCCTGTGACTTGGTGGTCTTTTTCTCCCCAGGTGGGGGCTCCTGGGCTGACCAGACAACTGGCATCGAGGCCCAAGGAACATGGCTTAGGTCAGTGGCCAGAAGTTACTGGGAGGGGAGCCCAATATCGGGCATGGAATGGCAGCTTTAGTGCAAGTTTATTTACAGCCTGTCCTTGAAAGAAATTAATGTGAAGAGCCCCTTAGCATGTTGGAGATGACTTGTGAATCCAGAGGTTATTATGGGGCCAGGGACCTCAAATCTGTAAGTTAAAAAGGGGCTCCAAAAAAAAAAAAAAAAAAAGGATCTAAAATAAGAATTCTAGTACAGCTTTTATAACTGGAGGAGTAACTTCATGCTGCTGGCCATCCCTTTCTCCAAGGGCTCTCTGTCAGGTCTGTAGGCAAAGACAGACGCACGTGAATACATTTAACCAAACACATTTTGTGGCTCTGAGATTTCTCAGCTGGCAGGGGTGAAACCTCACTTAACGATGTGTACCTCTTTGAGAACAAGAAATTATGAGGATTGTGAGTGAACACACGTACAGTACGCCTTCTTTGTTGTTGCCCTATTTAACACAACCTTGCTGTGCAGAACTTGCTAGCAGAACTGTGATTAAGAATACATGCTTTTTTGCCAAGCAGACCTGCATTCAAATTTTAAGGTCCATCATTTAACACCAAGTTAATCTCTGAGCTTACCTTTTTTTATTTTCACCCAGAATATGGGGTTCATAATCTCCCTCTTCACAGAGTTGTTGTGAAAATTAAATAGGACACTGGTGTGATGTGCCTAAATCCGTGGTGACCAAATAACAGACATTAAGTGGTGGCAGTCCTTGGCAACCTGCTGTTGCTGTCATCATTGCTCCTGTTTTTGGTAGGCTTTATTAAAGTGATCCATAGAGCCCAAGAAGAGTGTGCTCTCTTGTACTCCTCAGAACCACCTAGAAGCTTGTTACACATGCAGATCTCAGGCCCCGCATCAGACCTACTGACTCAGAAGCGGGGCGGGGGGGCGGGTAGGTCTCTGCGCTCCATGTTCTAACAGGTCCTCCAGGTGATTCTGTGCTTAACTGGTTCAGGAACCTCTCATCTAATACAAAATGCTCTGTGGAGAGCAGGGAAGGAGCACTTGTCGCTCACTCTGTTTTGTGTGGAACAATGAGAAAGTCTGACCGTGAAAGGCTGATGTTGGGATGAGGTTATCCTGAGAGGGGGAATGTTTTTCTCCTCCACACCAGAGGAAAAATGCCACCTTTAATTAAATGAAGTGATAGCCAACTTGTAATTATTCAACAGTAATTAACAGTCTGTGAATCATGTAGGACGTGTACTGCTACCTAAAATCCCCTCATTTAAAATTCTTCCATCTACCCGTTCTTTGCTTGCACCTTGAATTAAAAATGATGTGTAAGGCTGAACAGTGATTTACTTACTCATGCTACTAATTGTGTTGATATTTTTAAAATTTATGTTTCCCCCGATGTCAAAATGGAAACAAGGAAAAGAAAGTATTCGTGAAAAAATTTGCCTATGAACCCTAACAAACTATTCTTTAAATCATTGCAGACTTAGAGGAAGTAAAAACCAAATAAACCAGAAAGCTCCCCAGTACGACTGGTAAAACCCGGTCAGTGGCAAGGAGAAGGTAGACAATCCAGAAGAATGAGGGCTCGTAGCCTATCCTGTGTAGTAGTCCTGGGAATTATGGACTGGTCACTTCCTGTCTCTTCTGCCTTCCCCTGCCCTGCCCAGGAGCCTTGGGGAGTGAGACCCAAGGGACAGTGTGGGGGAGAGTGAGTTTCTCTCACTAAGTCCAAACCTCCTAAAACTCATCCTCCCAGTGCCACTCGTGAGGTCTTTCCTCATCTCACAATTTGGGGGTTTTTCAGTTGAAGGGTAGTGGTTAATTAAAAAAAAAAACAAAACACATTCAAAGCTTGTTTCAAAATTGGTATGGTATTACATATGTCTGCCAATAAAATCTTGGTGTGGGTTTTAACTTTTTTTAAACTAATGAAGTAAAACCTTTAATTAAGCAGAGTCCTTAATTTAATAGGATTTCTTCCCTGTGGGAGGTACCTTGATTTTTGAATCACATAGCAATAAGCCAGTGTTAGGAATGTTGTAAAACTGGGTTCTTATTATTTCCATAGCAATTTTTATTATTTGAGAACTAAAACCTAGAAGTGTGTGGTAAAACTTACCGAACTGATACTGAGATAAGACTGTCCTGATCAATTTAGAAATACTTCGGTACTTTTAAGCCAGGGTAGCTTTTCTTAAAGGTATGTGTGGAGTTGATAGGAAAATTACGTGAGGACCCCAAGCAGCCTGATGATGGTTGAGGTGGTACTTGTTCACACCCTCACTTTTCAATCTGGAACTGAGAATTTTGCCATTTGGGGTTACCTTTTTGGAGACAAAGGTAGCAATTCAGAAGTGGGCAGGGACTCTTGCCTTGTAACCAGCAGAATCAGAAAGGGAGAGAATAGTAAAGCAGATGCCTTGGGAAGCTGCTTCTCCTCCTGTGTGTACCCTGTGTGGGGTCCCTGTACCACGTAGCTTTGGAAAAGGGAAGCTTGGCTGTTCAGGTTGCTCACAGGACAGTTGTGTGCCCCACCCCCTCTGCAAACAAAGTGGCTGTAAAAGAAGTTTGAAGGAAAAAAGTTATTTCCTGATCAACCCTCTTTTTGGAGCCGATGGAGCTAATGTTACATGATTTTTTTTTTTTTTTTGAGCCAATGAGGAATTACCAAAATTATAAAATAACTGAAAGGAATTCCTGAGTGGTCAAGTCCACTGTGCTTCTTTCAACCAGAAATAAATCTAACTGTCCAAAACATGTGAGATTCAGACTGTGTTAAAGAAGACTCCATAGACGGTTTCCGGTTTAGTTTTTTTTTTTTTATCAACTTCTTTCAGTATGTTGACTAACAAATAGTTCACTTTGTAGTTCTCTTATAAAGTAGGCCATCGAGATATCCATCGTTTAGGGAAAGTTTTTGTGCCGGTGGACTAAGCAGGGAATTCTTTTCCACATCCAGGTGAATTTAGCCAGGTGGCTTAAGGCTATGGGAATAGCAGAAAATCACTTTTTAGATGGCTATTTTTTTTAATTGTTTTTGCATATGTCTTCCAGAGTTAATTTGTTTTAATTACGAGTAAGTTTTCAAAAATAGACTGTAAGCATAGTGGCTGTTTTTTAATTAAAAAAATATTTAATGACTGGTTTTTATGCAAAGTATCATGCATCAGCCATCAGGAGAGAGATAAATGAGAGGTTCTACTTTGATGGAGTTAACATTCTAGGGGAAAGGGGAGGAGGAGAGAGAAGCAATCAGTATGTTCTATCAGCACAGGCTTGGTGGATTTGAGGAAGCCTTCAGAGTGGGTGTCATTGGAACCACTCAAGATTTGCTGGTAGCTGAAAATTGGGGATGAGGGTGTGAGGTTGAGAGAGAAGCAGAGGAAATTTGTGTGATTAGAATGAAAGCATCAAAGTCCAGGGTACCAATGAGGAGCAAGGAATAGTCTGGTATCCCTGGAATATAGAGATGGTTTGCAGGAGAATCCTATTTCATGGGTAAGCTGGTCCTGAAAGAATTGGTTTTCATTCAGGGTTCTGGGGTGGGGATTAGAATGTAAAAGTTTGGGGAGTGGATATTACCGACAGGTAGAATGCATGTGGCAGGCCTGCAGGGAAACAGTGGGGTAATACCTAGAGTAGATCTGTACCAGATTCTTGGGGAGATTTTAATGCCAAAGCAAGGACTTAGAATTTATTCTGCAGCAGCAAAGAGCCATCAAATGCCTCTTATTTTAAAATGTGGTTAGTGGCACGAGAACCACAGCTTTATAGATTGGCTTTCTTTCCATGAGAAGGCTAGTTTAGAGGGACAAGATGTTGGGGAGGCAAGGAGACCAGTAAGTAGGCTCTTGTCAGAGGAAATAAGAGAAGTCACGAGAGCAGAAAGGCCAGGAGAAAGGGGTGTCTGAGATCAGGGCTAGAGTTTCTAAAGGTACGTATGGTCTTGGCAAGGCAATGTTTTCCTACTTATTTATTCACATAATATTGGGGGGAAAATTCAGTAGCTACCCTAGAAGCAAGTGTATGAGGGCAAAAGTCAGTTTATAGTTCTTCCCTTCATTGTTCTTATATATCACATGTGGGGGTCAGGAGGGTGTGACCTGTGTCGCCCCCCCTGAGGCAGGCCCATTTCTGGTTTACCTGCTAACCAAAACTGCTCTCTCGTTGGCTTCCTTCTCTGCCATTTGTCAGTGAATGCATTTTCAACCACTTTTGGTGCCAGGGCTTGATGATTTAGGATGTATTTTTACGTGGTTTAAGTAGGGCAATCAGATTATCAGACTTCTTGGTAGGTAAAGCTGACATCTAAAATTGGATTTTCCCATCCTTGACATTTGAAATGAGAAATAAAAATTATCTTTTCAGGTTTAACATGCCAAGGCACTCCCAGTAGAATAAGCTGAGAATAAAGTAAATGCTGTTTTGGGTGCTTGGTAATCTTTTAATTATGAAATAAGCCTTTTGATTTTAATCTTCCAAAATGTATAATACTGATCCAGGAAAACAGCCTTTTTAAAGTTCACATCTTGCTGACTCCTTCAGATGAAAAGCTCCTACCTCTACCCCATATTTTGCAAGCTGGAAGTAAAAATATCATTAATCTTGTCTCTGTTCCACGACTGCCTATAAAAGACTGTTCAGTTTGGAGTCAGTCCTGAGCCATGAAGGCGGTACTCCAGAGTGAATGCTTAGGTTTCTGGAGCCAGGACCCAAGGCCCGGAGGGTCACAGCCTTAATCCAGGAGTGGGTTGAAGGATTTAGGCCTTCTTTAAAACCTCTCCCTTGTCATCACTTCTTGTTGACCTCTTCTGGCCTCCCTCACACATGTACATATGCATAGCAAAACTTGGACACTGATACATTTTTATTATTTTTGTTCTTTTGTGGCATCTGAAACAGCTTGTACAATGAAGACAGAAACCTGCTTCGAATTAGAGAGAAGGAAAGACGCAACCAGGAAGCTCACCAAGACAAAGAGGCATTTTCTGAAAAGATCCCCCTTTTTGGAGAGCCCTACAAGGTATGTATTTATTGGATACTAGAAAGCCTGATATATCACTGTATTTAACTCTGTGATGAAAGTGAGTTTGAACAAGGGCCACACATGTGAAAATAAGACAACTTATCTTAGATTGTCTTTGAAAATAAACTATGAAAATTCTCTGAACCTTGTTATTCAAATTGCCAGTTTGTGGTCTTCTTTTGTAATGTTAATCTCCTGTCTTTAGTAATATTTGTCCAGGACTGGCTTCTCAGCAGGGAAATTGAGTTTAAACTGCACGTTAAATGTTATGTTACACATTAAATTGGTTTTTTTCCCCCTTTAAATGGTACTGTGTAACATCATTTATTAAATGATGATTTTCCTTAGATTTCTTTTTCTCAGTATCTAACTCTGCTATCTTTTTCCAGACAGAAAAAGGTGATGAGCTATCTAGTCGAATACAGAACATGTTGGGAAACTATGAAGAAGTGAAGGAGTTCCTTAGTAGCAAGTCCCACCCTCATCACGTGGATGCTTCTGAAAATAGGCTGGGAAGGCCACGATACCCTGTATTTCCTGAGAAGGGGGGCAGCATTCCACCCCACCCCTTCCACCCTAGTACCCACCACCAGCCTGGTAACACTCCTGCCTCTGGACCACTTCCTGTTGGTAACATTAGCCACAGTCCAAAGATGGCACAGCCAAGAATGGAACCAATGTCAAATCCTCACGCCAAAAGCTATGGCCCACCAGACGGCCAGCACCCGACCCAAGATCGCCTCGGTCAGGAGGGGTGCAGCTCCAGTCATCACAAAAAGGGTGACCGCAGGGCTGATGGAGACCGCTGTGCTTTGGTGACAGACTCCGCTCCAGAGAGGGAGCTCTCTCCCTTACTCTCCCTGCCTTCCCCAGTGCCCCCCCTGTCACCTGTACATTCCAACCAGCAAACTCTTCCCAGGACACAAGGAAGCAGCAAGGTTCACAACAGTAACAGTAACAATAAAGGCTATTGCCCGGCCAAATCTCCCAAAGACCTCGTGGTAAAGGTCCGCGATAAAGAGACTCCTCAAGACAATTTAGTGGCAGTCGCCAGCCTCGGGGTGGCCCCTCCCCAGCCACCTTCTCAGACTTTCCCCCCACCCTCCCTCCCCTCAAAAACTGTTGCAATGCAGCAGAAGCCCACAGCTTATGTCCGGCCCATGGATGGTCAAGATCAGGCTCCTAGTGAGTCTCCTGAACTGAAACCTCTGCCGGAAGACTACCGGCAACAGACCTTTGAAAAAACAGATTTAAAAGTGCCTGCCAAAGCCAAGCTCACCAAGCTGAAGATGCCATCTCAGTCAGCTGAGGTGAGTGGAATTTCGTATCTGGGGCAATTCCAGTGTGAAGGAAAATTCGAGATGGAAGTTTCTGGAGAACTGGGGACCTGGGTGTCAATGGCTTTTGGGTTGTGAGATTCCTTTTTGTCTTTAGGATCTTGTTGTCCCACAGAGAACTCAGGTCTGAGAGGAATTACTGAAGGCAGATATTGAAATGTGATTTTCAGGAAGGTTTTTTTATTTTATTTTTTTTATTTTTACTGAGCCATAATTTATATGCTGTAAAATACAGAGATCAGGAGTACACAGTTTGCTGTGTTTTGAAAAATGTATACACCTGTATAACCCCACAACCCAGTCACAGTATTTATCGTGAGAAAGTTTCAGGAAGGTTTTGAGCTGTCATTGTTTTTTTTGTTTTTGTTTTTACTTGTTTGAGGGAACACTGACTTCTTTAACATTGTAGAGCAAAAAGGGGGAGGGGTAATACTTCCTCAGCCCGAGTTAGTTTTTCTGAGATCCAAACCATAAAAAAGTAAAATTAAGAGGTTAAAATGTTGAAGGCAAAGTATTTCTAAAGATTTGTTTCCTGTAAATTACAAGAAAATATGAAACTAAAGTTCTAATATATTTTTGTTTACCACCTAAGAAAGAAGACTGGGGGTGTCGGTGATGTCCCATTTGAGAGTGAGTCACAAATACGATACAGAATGTTATTCAGCGATGGCTTTTTCAAGTAACCAAAATACTTTATCTTTTTTAAACAAAAAAATTCCTTTTTCTGCCCCTTTGGTAAATGGCAGCATTGTGTTTGAATGAAGAGAATCAGAGCACACATCTTATCACTGAAATTCTAAATTAGTAACAGTTACTCCAAAATTCAGATTAGTAGAAATGTTTTGAAGTGAATTTGTCTGAAAGCTTATCTGTTAAGGTAATGTCCTTGGTTTAGTCACATCTATTGTATAAATCTTCTAATTTGCATATCCATTGCTCAAAGGCTTCTGTGTGTACCCAGATAGCAGTCTTAGGTGGTGCTAGAAGGTAAAATTCCTTAAGGCTTAAAAACAAAACCCAAACAGACTCTAGGATGCTTAGCTGGAAAGATAACCCTTATCTTGAAGGAGGAAAATCTGTTCCTCTGGGGTGTCAGCTTTTGGTTTAGAAGAGGTTTTAGCTTTGTCCACAGTCAGCTGTTGAGCTGGAGTGAGTTTGGGTGTCTTCAGAATGGGACTTGTGTGGAGGCTGAGGAAAAATGGGAAAGGGGGAGGACAGCAAGTGGTAGAAGTGACCAAGATGGCAGAACTACTCTACCTTTAACCTCTTAAGTCATGAAGATTCACTGTAATGAGATATTTACCAAACATTTTGTCCTGTGCTGCAAGGAGGGGTAGGCAGCAAATTAGGGCAGAGTGGAATTGAAGTGAGATTCCCCCCTCATAATGGCCAGTCAGCCTGCCTTATAATGCGTACAGTGAAGAACTTAGTGGGATTTTCTTTGCTTTGTTTATCAAATAAGGTGTGTTCTGTTTTCCCAGTTTAAAAAAAAGCAGATAAGGAGGGAAATTAAACCTATTTTCTTAAAAAAAAAAAAAAAAAAACCAAGGAACTAAAAATTGCTTTAAAACAAATTTAAGACAAATCAGCAAACATCATCTGCATTGTTTACCAAATGCTCAACCATATGCTTAAGTGTGGGGTGGGATGCCAAGCAAGTACTGGTCCCTGCCACAGGCGAGGCGACAGTCTGGCGTGTAGATCAGCCTCCACACAGGAAAACAATTAGAGAACAATTGAGTCCAGAGTATCCTACTACTTGGTGCTTAGAGAAAGTTTCAAATGGCAGTCTTAAAGCCGGGAACTTAGTTACTGTGTTCAACCAATTGGATTTCCAGTTGACCTTCCAGGGGAGAGAGTCCTGGTTAACTTTTTGCTTCCTTGGTGAAAAAGAGTTAAGCCAAGTTGAGATTTCTCTAAGGCCCTGAAGCTCCTCAGATTTAATATGTATTTCAAACCTAGGACCATGCCAGATGGCCCTTGAATATTTTCTGAGTGGATATTTGAAACGAGCAAAATCCTCCATGGGTTTGGTGATTGGAGAATGGGGTTTTCCTGGCACGGGGTCACCTGCCATCTACAACAATTTGAGTAGATGTAAACTTTCCGTCTTCGGCCCATGTTTGCTGTGAGCGTTCATTTTAATGTGCTGGCTCTGTCTAGTTTCTGTTGGGGGTTCTCATGCTAGTGGCAGCTGTGGCTCCAGCTGCCTTGGAGCCCCGGGCAGATGCAGGGTGCCGCAAAACCAGTGTGAAGGGGGGGTTCAGAGCTAAGATCTTGGCATGCAGGGGCAGTAAATCTGGGAAGCAGGGTTATTAAGATCTCAAATTTTAATATTCTGATGAATCAAAGGAAAGCGTAGAGATGGGGGTCAGAAGAAGCAGGGAATTCACCCCAGAGCAGGTAAACTCTGGATATAGAACCAGAACATGAGCAATATCTTGGGCTGTTTGTGACGTTGGGGCAGAAGGATGGAGAGGATGGGGATAGAGGAAGTTGGCTGTTGGTAGCCCTGACGGAAGGGGGGGGGTGGCTAAGTGGTTTTCCTTTATTTGCTTAATTTGTCCTAAGGCAAGTCAGAGGAGGTTCTCTTTCCTGGCTTTCTGAGTGTGAGGGTTTTGCGGTTTGTTTCTTCCGCCACCACCCCCTTCCCCATGGCTTCCACAAAACAGTATTTTAAAAAGTGAACCAAACTGGGAAAATCATCTTGTCCGCCTGGCTCTCCTTCATTCTCAAGCCACATCCATGTGAATTCCTTACACCACACTGTCCTTTCATTTCGTGGAGACAAACGTGGTTAGTATATTTTAGTTGGTTCTCCTAAAAAAAATGATATTCTTTTCTGGAATAAGTTATTCTCACAGTTAAAACGTAGTCTTTCCTAGAATCCTACAGGGAAAAAAAAAATGATCAAAAGGTCAGTATTCTGACCACATAGAGGCCTGGCTCACAAAAATCTGCACTTGGTTTTTCTGTGGGCGTGTCAGTTTTAGTTTTGTGTCAACTGGAAGATGTGTAGCAGCTTGAAATGACCCATCTGAGGGGTACGGGCAGGACTCGGTGATCTTATGTGGATACCTTCCAGCTGTAGAGTTGCCACGTCAGATGGACTTGCCCAAGTGGAAGGTTGAGATTCCTCTCTATCCCCCCACCGCTTTTTTTTTTTTTTTTTTAAGATTTTACTTGAGACAGCACAAGCAACGGTGGGGGAGGGGCAAAGGGAGAGGGACAAGCAGACTCCCACTGAGCAGGGAGCCTGAAGCTGGGCTCCATCCCAGGACCCTGAGATCATGACCTGAGCCAAAGGCAGATGTTTGACTGACTGAGCCACCCAGGTACCCCTCTCTTTCTTTCTTTCTTTTTCTCTTCTCTTCTTTTTTCTTTCTTTTCTTTTCTTTTTTCTTTCTTTCTTTCTTCCTTTCTTTTCTTTCTTTTTTTTCCTTTCTGTCTTTTCTTTCTTCCTTTCAGTAGCCTCCATGCCCAGCGTGGAGCCCAACACAGGGCTTGAACTCATGACCCCGGAGATTAAGACCTGAGCTGAGATCAAGAGTGAGATGCTCGACCAACTGAGCCACCCAGTTGCCCCTATCCCTCTTTTCTGCCTGAAGATATCAAATGAAAGTGGGAGAAAAACTGTGGCATCTCTGTGTTGTGTTCCTGAGCACGGACGGACCCCAGGATGGGGAGTGGGGGGATTAGATACAGGATTTATGAAATAGATGTTTTATTGAAACAGAGAAATGGAATAAGCCGAGATGGGCATTTTAAATTGTATACTGGATTTAGAATATTAGACTTTTAAAGCTAAACATACAGCCCTTTCATTTTGCAGCTAAGACCTTGGAGGAGGCAGTCACATAATTTTGCTGAGATTTAGAGTTAGTAGCAGAGCCAGAGCTCAGACTCTCAGTTCTATGATCTTTCCACTTCTGCTTGTTAAGTACAAATGGAGACAACTGGAAGATCTGGAGCAGGGCAGTGATGTAGCTTTCTTTTTTGAAAAAAATCATTCTGGCTTCTAGGCGGAAATGGCTTGAGGGGCAAGGGTGGAAGCAGGGAGACTAGGTAGGGGTTGAGAAATGAGGATGGCTTGGAGTAGGGTAATAGGAGTGGACGTGGTGCAGAAAGGGCCAATTCCGGATGTGTTTGACAGGCTTTGGTTGGCTGGAGATCGGAGTGTGCCCGAGGTGAGGGAAAGTGAGGCATCAGGGGTTGTTTTACTTGATAGGTCTGGATGCTGGGATGATAACTGCTGCTGAGGTGGACTTGACCTGGGTGGACACGTTTGGAGGGAAAACCAGGAGCTCTGAGTAGATCAGATAAGTTTGAGATGCCGTCATTTGTCCAGGTAGATGCGGCAAGTTGGCAGTCGTAGGTAGTAGATGAGCTCAGAGAAAATGTTAAGACTAGAAATGATAAGTTTGGGCTATGTTTGCATATAGTAGTATTTAAAGCTTTGGGACTAGACTGCCCGAAAAGTCCCTGAATCAAGCCCTTCCTGGCTCAGCTTAACCTTGGCAAGGGGCAGCGGGTGGGAAGAAATGAGGATGGGCTGGATCTTCAGAAACAGAAACTGAAGACCATCCTGGGAACTTGAGAATCTGCTTATAAAGTAGTAGAAATGATAGGTTTCTATTTTTTCACTTAGTTTGAAGTGTACATGTAAATGGTACATTTATCTTAATTTATTCAAATAACTCACTGGCATCTAGCAGAATTTACTGTAAATTTAAATTTGCTGTTGCTTGTGTCCTTATGTGGTCCCAAGCCATACCCTCCAGATGAATCTGATCTTGAGTCCTGATGGTCTCTGATTTCCCTGTGGCATCAGTGAGGAATGACTTCTGTTACCAAATGCTTCCACCTAATTTCTAAAACCTGGGTGTCCGCTGCAGTTGTGAGTTCATTGTTGGACTACCTTGACTCATGGCAATTTTTTTTTTTAAAGATTTTATTTATTCATGAAAGACAGA